TTTTGAATAAATATTTTGTGAAAAACTGTGTGTCGTGTACGTGCGATGACTTCGTCGCTTTGAATTAGGTCCTACATTCCATGTCGATCTATATTCGCAGGTCAATTGCATGATTGCTTTTGATGAACGCAAGCTTCTTTTTTTTGTGGAATTGAATACAGCGAAGACACTGGTATTTAAATTTGAAAGACACGAGACGCAAGTTTCAATTTTTCTACTGCGCATTAAGTCTGCGATGAAATAATGTACTGTACCTTTGAATGCAGAAAGTTTGATGGAAGATATTGCGGATAGATTCAGCGATTCCATTTATCCTCATATTCAATGTTTAGTATCTGTATCTAGGCTGAAAGATACGTTTTTTAAATTGAGATTCACAGTAAAATATTTGGGAAAGAGTTCTTGTTTGACGAGCAATACCACGGCATAGAATCTGGGATCAGAAAAAAGTTTTCTGCTTGCCGGAGGAGTTTGATTTGAAAGAAATACCCTGAAATAGGGTCATAATATTCTTTTTGTTACTGTAGATAACTTCTTTTCGAACCTCTGGAAGAGAATAATGAGAGAAAATCTGTTTCTTTTTTTTTAATGTACGGATAGGCTCGAGATTTTTGATCGTTTGATCGAGAGTTCTGTTTTAAACGCCGAATCGACATTTTTTCATTGCGCTCGTTTTCAGGCATGAAACGTGTATCTCCTTCAAAAAATGTTTGAAAAAATCTGTGATTCTACTCCTGACAAGTTTCGGAAGTGCATACAGCAACATTTTATACCGCTAATTTCCTCAGAATTTTCCATCGTAGCAACGAATAACAATGAAAAGAGTTCTTACAAGATAAATGTGGGTTTTAAATGCCGTGCACTCGGATGTCAGCAAACTCACTCAACAGAAAATAAGCTAAGAATCGATGTGGAACTTGTCTCAACAAATTAATCTTGAAGCGTGACATTCGGTGAATTTTGAACACGAAGAAAGTCATGCAATCTTACTTTATACAATGGCACAGCCTTATCTATTAAATTAATGCGCTGTCTGTGGCTGTTCCAACGACAAATCTTTCTCTTGATATTGACTAAAAAATAAACAAGCTATTTCGCGGATAAGTCTAAATTGCAAACTAATGAAACAACGACATTATTTTGAAGCCGAAAATCCGGTCTGAGTGAAAATAATTCAGGGTCATTTTGAATTTCACAGTGTTTCTTTGTAAAATTTTCCCGGGGCTATTCTAAGAAAAACCGTGACTCTGCCAATTTTGCGTCTCTGTAAAAAAAAGAAAAATCTAGAATTTTTAGCCTGCACAAAAACGAGATTCCCTCGGAGCTTTGCGAATTGCACAATGACACCCTCGGAGCTCCCATTAATGNAATAATCAATTTATTTTATACACTGTATTAAGGAAGTTTTCTTTCAAATATAGAGAGTTTGCAGATTCTCTATCTAATGAATGCACGTTTTTGATAACCATTACAATGAAAACGTACCGTGACTCTCTGCAGTACCAACGTGGACAGTGTTGTACATTACAGTACTTCATACCGGTTGGAGAGGAACTGATGATTTTTTTTCAATATTCATTTCGCCCTCCTTTAACTTTCGCACGTTTTTCCATCATTGGTCCCGATACTTCCTGCGTGACAACTGAAATTCTAGCTTACTCATCCTCGCGGATTTCGTTGCGTTTTCCTCACTTTTCATGGTATTCTAACGCAGTGTTTTTTACGTCAAGAGTTTTTGTCAGGCTTATTTACAGAAAGTTTTCGCGCGTGAGGCTAAACAAAAACAAAAAAAGAAGTGAAAAATGCAAACTATGAAGTTGGTGAAGCCGGAGGAGAGATACCGGTTCTCCGAGCTGTTGTGCATGTTCAAAGCATGGGGTAATTATTGACGAGATCTCGTTGAATTTTGAATGTTTTACGTGATGAGACATCGTGGATTTTCTTTTGTCTAATTCTGCGCTTTTTCTTTGTGTGTGTTTTGCAGCTGCGATGGGAGCCACTGGAGTGGTTGCGCTGATCTTTGGCCTGCTGACTGTGGTTTATTTTCAAGACCTCATCACGATGGTCATTCACAAGGTAAGTTTGTGTTGCCAATAACGTAGATTCTCTCTACAACGAAATTCAAGGGGCCAGAAAGAAATTGTCCTTGAGAGAATTTTGGTGTAGAGAAAGGACTCGTACAACGCTGGAAGAGTATGGAACGAATATGGAACGAACAAATTCGTTGTACCGAGAAAATTGTTGTAGACGAAATTTTTAGAAACATTCAGCTGTACATACCTGTATGTTTCTGGGTTCTGCGCGTGGTGATGCCCTGAGTTAGTTTTCGAGATGTCGCACAGGTGTCGCCGTAACTAAGAATTTGAATGATAATTCTGCGTTCGCGGCTTTTAAGTAATCGAGAACCTTTGCTTAACATACATTTGTCTGCTTCAGAGGACCCGTAAAAGATTCCTGCACTGGTGACTTCGAGACTCATGGAAGTAAAATAATTCTCGATTTTCGAACCCGCAATTGTTGACAATAAAATTACCGAACTTACTTTTCGAAACAGATGTCACTTTCTTCTATTTAGCTAAAAATAAAAATAAAAATCAGGGATTAAAGGAGAGTCCTAACCTAACCTCGCATTGTAGTCTGCAGCATTCCCGATATGGTGACATCTAAATTGAGGGAATTTAAATACAGTATATTAAAACCGTGTAATCTCTGATGACATTGCAAATTTTCCACCTTTTGAAACGGTGAGTGGTTCCTGTTCATTTTGGCTAATTTTGCCAAGATTCGAGTTTTATTTATCGGATGAATTTTCATTACCTCACAAGTAGTTTTCAATCTTTAGGTCTAAAGCTTTATCTGTTGTAAAAATAAATTTATATGGTACAGCCCGTTCGATCAATCAATCATTTGTTGATGTCTTTACGTCAATGGATTCTTTTTTATGCATGTGTTTTGGACATTTTTCTGCAGAATAAGCCTCGAGAGAGTCTCCGAAAAATCCGACCAGAGTCTATTGACTATACCCATCTTTAAATGAAATCAATGTTGAATGGAAAAGTGCGCGATTCTGGCGAATCAAGAAATGATTTGATATGACATAAAATGTGCAGCATATTGAGCATTAATGTTCTTTAAATCTCGAGAACCACTGGGAACTGCTGCCGAAATTTAATTCAAGCTGAAATAATCCAAACTTGGCTCACACAAAATATGAACAGTTAAACATTCAGGCGATATTTTATTTATTTATAGAATATTCCTTAGGTCCGGGACGTTAAAGGGGGAAAGACGCCGTTTGTTTGTCTTGTTTCTGAAGCAATGTTTCCTTTTCAAATTTGCAGGAACTTGAGATGAAGAACGGGTCGGAGCCTCTAGAATTGTATTTAGAGCCTCCTGTGGAACCAATTACGAAGGTTTATTTTTTCAATTTGACGAATGCCGAGAAGACGCTAAGTGGTGACATTCCGATTTTGGAAGAAGTCGGTCCTTACGTTTACAGGTAAGTTTCCACATTTTTCCTGATTTCCGAATCAGAACCAACTTTCTTATCAAGATCGAGGAAAATCATTTTCAGAAACCTTGAAAGACAGTTTGTTTTGACTTGTCTCACAAATACGCCTTTGAAACATTAGTCTTCATACGTTAACCATCACGCTTCAAATATGAAAGCAAACTTTTCTCTTGTGAGAAGCCCAAAAAGTCTGAAAAAAAAAATTAGGAATGTCCCGACTGTTGTAGAAGTAAAACTGATTTTGGATTAATTTCCTTGCTTTGCTTTATGTTGGATTTTACGCAAAAATTTTGAATTTCCTTCATCCTTTGTATTCATCACTGCTTCGTCTGTTGAGAACTCGAGCATTGATCCGAAATTTCGGTTTATCTTTTTTTCGACCATTAGTGAATCATCCGATGGCTTCTATATCAATGAACTCCTTATTTTTGTTTTGGTTAATTTTTTAAAATTGCAACTGCTTCTTCAGTCTACGATTTGGAGCACCAATGTAAGCCTTGATTAATTATTTGTTTAAAAAAAATTGAATATAGGGAAAAATGGGAGAAAGTGGTGGACAAGTTCGATGACAAGAACAAAACAGTGACTTTCAGGCTCAAGACAATCAAGTATTTCATGCCACGTGAGTCTGCTGGGAAAGAAG